TGGTTAGTGGGTAATATAATAGGTGGGAGTGAACTTATTTTATGGAACTTTTGAATTTTTGTTAACTGAAATAAGAGTGTTGTTAGGGATATCAAATTGGGATTGTTTTTTGAATGAATCATTTACTGTTATGAAATGAAGAGATTCTGAAATTTTTTGTTGAATGATTTTGGAGTGGAAAAATTCGAATCGACAATTTTTTCAGCTGAGAATGATGCAAATGTTGATCAAATGAACGGTGTATCGACAGTGAACAACGCAGGTGAAGATGGTCGAAACAGCACGAAGACATCATCGGCAAACAGTTCGGCCAGAGCGCAGTCAGTTGATGGAGATGATGGGAAGCGATTGGATAAGGATGACGGGCAAGGTGGCGGCGATGTGAATGTGAACAACGAAAGTGAGAATGTGGCTTCGATTAAAATTCAACAAACGAGTGAAGTGGCGGTGCGTGGCACCGATCAAAATCAATACTCTGAGGGTCATTTGGATACGTTCAATGTAAGATTTGGGAATATTTTGATTGTCTACGTGGTGAATTTGATTGATTCGATTTTTTGGGGGGTAGAAAGAAAATTGAAGTCAATGTTTAATTTGTTTTTAGTAATCGTGCATTTGCGAGGAGTGGATTGTTTCATTTGGTATGGGGTTGATCGTTTCAGATTTAATTTTGTGATTGGATTGACGTTACAATTCATTCATTTATTTGATTGAAATATGATATCGTTGAGTACACTCTCAAAAAAGAAAGATTTTTACGGATGATTTTGAGAGTTTTACGGAATGACGGCGTTGAAATATGGGTGCTTTATCCTTTGCGACTGCAATTTTCATAATTTTCATTGGTGTCAAAATAGGAAAAAATTGCATTTGACAGAATTGGTTCGTTGAAGTTTCAAAATCATTAAACATTGTTGTGTTCTGTGGAAGGATTTCATTGAGATGGATTCGTCTGATTTTTAGAATCGAACCCTCGAATCGAGAGCGCTCGAGACTGGTGAACGTCGAGAGTATTTGACGACTAAACTCCAGAAGGCTTTGGAAACAGTGGCACCGTTACTTCGCGAGATTATGACCGATTTTCGTTCGTTCCTCCAGCGAACTCTTCTTGGCACACACGGACAAGAGATTATGAATGATGTGAAAGGTTTCTTTAACTTATCTTCTAGGAATGACAGTTTGTTTTCATCTTAAACGTGTATTGGTAAGTATCGATTCAGATATTCTTTTAGCCATGATCCATTCATCGTTTCG